CATTGGGCTAAGGTCTGCATCTCTTGGGCTTGACTCTTCATGAGTTTAGATATTAAATATATTATACACGTATAGATGCTCTCCTTTGGGCTTGAGAGGAGTGCCCCAATGCTCTCCAAGCTCTTGAACTTCTTACACAAGACTGAACAAGGCTTGCTTCATGGCTTTAGTTAGGGCTCTTGTCATTGGACCTCCAATATGTTGTAATGAGTCTTTAGGTATGTTAGATTAGAAGTATTGGACTCCTTCTATGTCACCATGCTCATGATTACCATCCTCAAGCTTTGTTGCCATTAATGCTATGTCACCCGTGCCATGGGGTCCATCACATGGGGAAGTTGAAATTTTTGCCAATTTAATAAATTTTACATTAAGAAGAAAATTGCTAAAAAAATTACAGTAAACATGATAATTAATTATTTTTATGCCATAAAAAATCAATAAACAAAACTTAAAGAATAAAATATATATTCATTTTGTTTATATTTGTAAAATTAAATATAAATATATATGTTAAAATATTTATATTATATTGGTTATATATATAATTTTACTTCGATTATCATATATGTTTTGTTATCTTGACCCCCCTAATAAAATTTTCTAACTCCACCCCTAAACATAATTAATAAATTTTAAGATTTTTCTTGATTATATTATAACATGTTGGGAATAATTTATAAACAAGATTGAAAAGAATATATTTTAATCAAATTGAAGTAACATGGGACTAGATTAGATGGCAAGACTTAAGAGTGAGATGAATAATGAGTAATTATCAAAGTACAGACACTTTTGATCTTCTAGCCTGAAAAAGAGAAATCAAATTGGACCACTTATGTAGTTTTTTCACTTTTAACTAGATCATGATATTATATATATATATATATATAGGGAGAGAGAGAGGTCTATTATAAGTAATGATGAAGTAAAAAATTGAAAGGAAAAGAGGCAGCTCCTTTACGTGAGTCTTACTATAGAGAATTAAAAAAAAAAAAATCATCACTCACGTATAGGTAAAGACAAACCAAAACATAAGCCTAACTAAGCAGCTGAGACCTGATTTCTTATAAGCATAGCAGAATGAGAATCTTCCATTTTTGCCCTCTTTTTCTTTTTGTTCTGTGTGTGTGTGTGTGTGTGGTGGTAGCTAGAGAAGCAAATTTGAATAATGAATGAAGAATCTAAGGTCACAGGGCCTCTCTTTTTTGATTGAAACAGAACAAGGGGAATGGATATACATACATTATTATTAACCAATAGATTGATGGGAACGCAGCCGCTGCAAAGAAACTATTGGAAGGGCTATCACTTGAGAATGATGATGATGATCATGGATATATATATATATATATATAGTGTGTGTGTGTGGACCCTACTGTATAATAATAATAATAATAATAATAATAATAATAATACAATTTCAGCATTATTTTGGTGTGGTGGGGTTGCTTCATCCAAGAAATAGTGCAGAGCAAGCAAGTTTGTCCCTTCTCTTACCCCTTTGGGGCGGTTTGTGGGACTACTGCTTCCCGGTTGGTCTGCTTCATCCCACATATATTCATCTATTTGTGCTTTTATTATAAGTAGGGTTCTAATCCTCCCATTATCATGTTAGAAGGAGTTGGACTTTGTATTGGTGATATGTTAATCCCTAAGTGTGAGTGAATTTAAATAGGATAAAATTAAATTTAATAATTAATATAAAATAAAAAAAAATAATACATAAACTTAAGCTTTGAGATCTTCAATTAAGATGTGATATTTTCCCACTACTCTTTGTCCATTTATTCATCTCGTAGCAGGGGCCTTTGAAATTTTTAATTAAAATTTGATATTTTCTATTACTCTTTATTCATTTATTCCTCTTCCTCATTCTCGACACTTTTGAAGTTAGAGAGCTTTTTTTGGGTAAATATTGTTAGACCAAAAAGAAAATCGCCACGTGGAGAAAGAAAAAAGTCTAAATAGACCAAAAACAAACATATTTGTAAATTTAACACCATATCTTAATAAATAAAAAATTAGGGTTGAGTTTATGCTTGAGGTTTTTACTCATGTAATGTTACAAATGACCCTACACGTACATGTCACTTTTTGCTTTGATTTGTATTGTTTTAAATAGCCATTTCTTACTATTATAATTTTATATATCGTTATTTACCCAAAAAAAAATTTCTGAGAAACTATATAGTTGACACTATTAAATAAATTTGATGACATTCCAGCACACATTACTGGTCCTGCAATTATTTTAATAAATAATTATAATTTCTAGTAGCTTTTCAATTCACTATATATATATATATATATATACCCACACGTATGGAAATACATGTGTTTTTTTTTAAATAAACAAAATTAACCTTCTAGAAGAAATAGAGGGGAGACGCACACAAAGGTTTCTGAACCTAATTAATTAAGATGGCAAGCATGATAACGACATGTCTTCTGTCGCAACCTAAGTTGTTGCACTTTTTCTTCTTCTTCTTTTTTCTTTTTTATTTTTTTGGCATGACTTTCTGGACCTGAATGAAGAAGGTGATCATGGGGTCATAGATGATGGATAGATGATTACCTGTGGGCTTTGTGCCTTTTGTCTGCCACCTCTTGGTCCATGCCTCTTTATATTATTTAATAATTTTTTTTGATAACATAAAGTTTAAGTAAGTTAGATTTTAAGACCCATCGAAGGTATTTTTCTAAACTCAAAAAACACTTATCAAGATACTTATAAATTACTCATAAGTAATAATTTTATACTAGTAATTGAATTTGAACAAATGATCTTGTAGTTAAATTCTTATTAACTAAACTAACTTTTATTACATCATTTAATAATAACTTGAGACAAATGAATATTGTTCTTTGGGAGGGGGGTTTATAATTTAATTACACTATATCCCCACCAACTTAAATGTAAGAAAAGTTAGCATTTTTTTAATCAACAACTTGACAAAAATAATCACCTTCCTCCACATCTTGCTAACACACAGTAACACTTTGTAGGTTTAGTGTTTGCAGAAAAAACAAAAAAAATGACAATAAAATTCTTTCAAATTATATAAATGATAATCTGATCTCTTAAAATATCATAATTTTAAGAGAGTCTCTAGGAACCTTTATATCAATAAATTTTAAAATAAAAAGATCATTTTACCTTTACTGAAAATAATAAGCTCCAATCACAACTTTTATTTAAGAAATCATAACTTTTGTTCTACAAATTATAAAAGTTGAATAATAATTTATAACTTGTTAATTATAATTTCTATTATTAAAGCCTTAATCAAAATTTTTTTCTTAAGGAAAATAATTTTTGTTATGTGAATCGCAAAAATTGAATGAGAAATTATAATTTGTTAAATATAATTTCTATTATTAAAAAGCAAGTTTTCAAAATAACAAACCTTATTCATAACTTTTATTTAAAGAATCACAACTTTTATTCAAAAAAGTGCAAGAGTTGATCAAGAAATTACAACTTATCAATAAGGAAAAAATTATTTTTTTAATTTAAAATTTATCGATAAAGAGGTTCCTAAAAATTTTAATAGAATTATGATATTTTGAAGAACCGGCTTGTTATTTATATAATTTGAAAGAATTTTATTATCATTTTTCTGAAAAAAAACTATCACTGAAATATTCCAAATAAAAACATTATTGCACGTTTGGTATATAAAAAATGTTTCTAGAAAGAAAATATGACAAATGAATTTTCATTTTCCTGTCTAAAAACACTTTTGAGACTTGTGATTTAACTGTTCCCCTATTTTAAAGGAGGGAAATTTAATTAGCATCTATTTTTTAAGTATAAATCACCTATGTTACATAAAATTTGATAATTAAACTATACTAGTTATGATATATAATGTATTTTTTATTTGAAATTGTTCTTTCCCCCTCAAATTTTAAAGGAATGAAATTTAATTAACTTCTTTACTTAGTGTGAGCCACCAGCATCATATGAAATTTAAGAAATGGGTTATATTATTTATAACTTACAAATAATACAAGTTAATCACTTTCCTATATTGTATATATAAATAGATATGAATGAAGGCCTTGCACAACGCATATTGCCTCTACGTTTTTTATTTTAAAGACGAGTGAAAATTCAGGGGAAGAAAACATTTGAATAACGCTCATAAATAAGATCATATGTTTCCTTATTAAACAGGATATATTTTGATTACATAACTTTTACTAAATCGCATCACCTGGAGAACTCCACCTTGGGAAAATCACCATAGAAAATGTCGCATCCATGAACCATTCTACCCTGACACAATTTTATGGTGCTCCATTTTAAGTTTCAGAAATACCTCAGTAAATCTTTGCTGTTTCAGACAAACTTTTGATAAATTGCTTCACTGACAGTTGTTAGAAAATTCTCAATTTAATACTCAAGTATGGCATGAGTTTAAAAGATTGAACTTGTAATTTCTCGATCACCTGGTTGCAAACATGTCACTCATCACTTCTAGTATCAGAGGAAACTTCTGTATCATGCCTAACTTTTCGCTGTCTAAGCTCTGTACTATTATGCTTTAACATTGCCTTGGTTTGGAGTCTCAGCATGAAGCTGGGAAAGGTAATTCATAATTGATGTGTCATGAATTCTTCACTACTCCCTCTGCCCCTAAATGAAGTGTTTATTTGTTATTTAATTGAAAGCATATAAAATCACAGCAATTTTTCAATTTTGACCCCTAATAATGTCATAATTAACATCATGGTAGTGGGTAATGAAGCACACAATTAATTCCTCCCCTTTTCAAGACCACGACAAAATTGTTGTGATTAATGTCACAATTAATGGTTGTTCAAGCAGCAAAGAAGGTCTCAGGCTATCTCATATTAACATAACACCAGCATCAGCATAGTTCATGCCATGGGGTAAAATTTCCATGTACCTTTATGGTGCGATTTGAACACTACTTTGTGCAACACTAAGTAATGAAGCTACTAGTCTCACGAGGCCATGAGGCTGCAAATAAGTTGAACAGCAGTGAACATTGAAGCTGTGAAGCCAAATAATCTTCACCTTGCAAGTGTTAGTACAATAGAACCGGATATAAACATCTGGGAAACAAACCCCGAAATCTGGTTCATGAGAATAAAAAGCCAAAGGCTGTACAAACCCCACATTCCTAAATCTTACACCCCTGAATCCAGATATGAACATACGCTTGATCAAGAAAGCTTATTAAGGCCATGAAAGAATCGATGTTTTCGCCTCTTCGAGTGTCTCTGAGATTCTTTTGTCATGACATAGGGTACAAAATGTACCTGCATGGGCATAATGTACCATTAATTTATTACAACATTGCTCCACTCTATTTCGTCAAGACTAATTCAATATGAACAAACAAAACGAGAAGTAACTTGGACGAATTTACAATATTCAAATTTACACCCAAAAAATGCGAACAGAATATCTTTTAAAAAAAATCATACGAAACTAACATTATAAAAGCAAGAGAAAGTGAAGAAATGAAGCCAGCATACTAGCTGACTACTGATCACAACAGCCCCATAAAATGATGGGTTTTATTAAGCTGAATCAGCATGCAATTCAATATACGAAAAGAAACGCAACAATTTAAAATGCCATGCCCCTATTTGCAAACAGAATGTAACATGTAAACAAATCAAAAACATTTTTCTAGACAAATTATATCTGAAATTTTAATAATGTTTTTGTGCCCACAAATATGAGAATGAGCATAATTCCATTCCACAAGAAAGATTCATTCAAGATTTTAATGAAATTAGAAGTTGAATGTACTAGAAAAGAGAATGCCACAAGGAAGCAAAATTATAGGAAAAAGAAAGTTCTTCTTACATAAAGTTTATGAGGCAAACCTGAGAATTATTTCGAATACCAAAATTCTGAAGCACAAACCCATCGTCAAGGAGCTTTTCATTATGGTATGACAGACAATAATTAGCCCAGACGTGCTTCCTGCGATTCCATTATTTTTACAGTGAAAAAGAAATCAAAAACAATGTCAACAATTTTTCCCCCCTTTTCTTTTCTTAACAAACTAGAGACAATACATTGTGCAATATAGAGTTATCCAAAAACTTAATCCCCAAATATTAGCTTTTTCTAAGCAATTTCCAACATTGCCAATAAAAGTATAGGAAAAGAACCTCAATCTCACCAAGATATATGGCGGTGACCCATCTTGGATTGTTCCATGTCATTCACTTTCTTCTTAATCGCAAGTTTCAAATCCTTGACTGTCGCTGAGTTCATCACTGTCACATCTTCACCACCAAAATCAAAAGATTCAACCCAATTGAGCATTAACTCTTTCCCATATCCACATTCATTTTGCAGGGAAACAAAGTGAAAAAGCAGATTGAGTAGGCTCCCAAAAAAAAAAAGGTGCGGGATGAAAGACAAGTATTACCAAACGATGTTCCATCTAGTTTGAGAACAGAAATGCGCATGGCACTACCCAGCTCAAGGTTGATGAGAGTGTCCACATCAGCCAATGTTGGCTTCTTCGGGACATCAGTGAGTATGGGATCTTCTAGCAGGGCAGTGAGCATAGATTGCAGTTTTGCCTTCTTCACACTGCTTGAGCTATATTCTTCCATTAGCTCTCTTACTTCCTTATACTACAAATGTCTGCAAGTGATGGAGAAGATTATATAATGGGAATAACACTTCGCCACTATTTCTAGATCAAAGCATAAAAGCTCAGTTCTATAAGATTCATAAACGCCAAAATTTGATAAATTCTATCGCCAAATGTAACTTGATATCAGGCCTCAACACATTCCATGAAGCCCGAGGAAGGAAGCTGCATTCTTCAAAGCTCTGTGAACAGTGTGGCTTTCTCCAGCTTTTATATACACTGATCATTCCCAAAACTTACCCAAAGTTATACCTTGAGCATGTAACTAAGTTGCATCAGGACTGGTCCTAAATGTATGAATCATTACAACCAATTCAACCATTACAATATGACAAGCTAAATTCGCAAAACAAAAAAGAGCAAGAAGTTATGCATTACTAGAAAGTCACAAGAGATTTCTTTTCATTTGGCATGCTGAACACATGCTAAAGAAATTGATTTTAATTTTTCAGCTGAAGCAATTCACAGTTGCAATCCAATGATGATTAGTGCTTGTGCTCAATACAAACAGTATTGTCGATCTTGATGTTCCTCCTATTGGCTGTATGAACACTATTGAATCCATAGGCGGACCTATACTACACTCTGAAATCTTTGAAATATGCATAGTTGATATAATGTCCTTTTAATTTTTGTTCCAGATACTTTGACATAACTCGAGCCAAGTCATTTACAAGATCATGTATCACAAGTACCTTGAGAATTTCCAAATTTGATGATAATATAAAAAGATTAATAAACAGAATGCCAAAACACAACAAATCCAACATTGCGGGGGGAAAAACAATATCCAAACCATACAAGTCGCTAGTAATCAAAATGAAGAGGGAAGAAGTGTAATAGCCAATTACACACCACTCAAGCAAAAGCTAGTACAAAAAAAATAAACTCAATATGTAAATATTCCCAAATCCAAAGGTGTCAATATTCAACGATTACACGACCAGATTCAAAGCGAAATTAAAATGAAAAGTTTAAAAGAAAGCAAGAACAGCGGGAACAGATGACGCGGGGAAAAATTCAAATCTAGATTCAAAACACCAGCTTGAACAAATCAATCTCACCGGATTTCGGGAGTAGAAAAAGCCGTAGGATTCGAACCCGAGAACAACCATGCAGGGCTGACAACGGTGGACGGCGTCCAACGGAGCATGGGATGCTTGTTCGTCGATCAGAAGAACTGGATCCGCTACTCACGAGGAAGGGTTTTATCTGGGTTTATAATTAACTTTCGGAAGAATTTGGTATAGGCCAAAAATTAATTATTAAACTAGCAAAATTAATTACTCTAAATAATAAAATTTATTTTATAAATTTATATCAGACACTTCCGTATTAAATAGTATTAAACTTCTGAGTGTATTAAATATACTTTTAATTCTTTTATTTTTTCAGTCTCATTTTTTTCAATTTTTTCAAATAATTAAAAATAACCTTAAAATTGTGCCATGTTGAATAGAATTAGAGGAGAAGAATGAAATTAACCAAAAAAATAAAGTTGAAAAAATACTATATATTAACACATCATCTTACATCATATTAAGGACAACATATATGTAATTAGTTTCATATACTTAATATATTTTTATCTGATCAAATCATAACAAATAAACTTTAATACATTGATAATATTAATAATAAGAATTTATTATAAAATAAATAATCTATAAAATATCCACATCTTAGTTTAGTTGGAAACAAGCCCTTTAAATATATAAGATTAAGTATATAATTTTTTTCTTATATTAATACAAATATGCATGAATAGTGAAGATAATAGTTAAAAATATATAAAAAATTATGAAATGTTAATTTTACAAATATTTATATCATATATAAATATATTAAATATTTACTTGTAATAAAATATAGACATGGGGGAATGACATTAAAGGTCTTAAAAACAGACTTTATTGTAATTTGGGCCTTAAATGAATCTGATATTGCTCTGCAAGCCTTGAGGCCCTTATTGTCAATTTTTTAAGATCAAAAGTACAATTTTATCTTTTGTTTGATTTGAATTCAGAACCTGCGTGAACTTTCAAAAGAACGAAATAAATCATGCACGATATAACCTTCATTATACACAAGACAATGTCCCCGCATCTCAATAAAAAGTGTATGCATTTTAAGTATTTCACTAGCCTTGGCTTTAGGAAAAATGACTAGACAGACCATGCTTGACACAACATCCACTATACATGATACGATGTCCACGTATGCTGAACAAAAAATTCATACATTTTCAGTATTTCACCAACTTAGGCTATAACAAAATAACGTTAGGCAGACCATGCACGATACAACATTCACTATACATAAGACGACACATGCTCAACAGAAAGTCTATGCATTTCCAATATTAAGAAGGACAATTACATCATATATGAATAATTTTATGTTAGTATTAGCCTAGATATTAAAACAAGTACCCACACAAAATTTGACACAATATTCCAAATCTGATATATACAAAAAGTTAGTCACTATATCCAAAATATTTAACAGTTGCTTCTCATATACAACAAAAAATATTTGTGATTCCCACTTACCCAAAAAATATTATTTGAAAATGCTTTCATATACATAATTATAGTTGTTTGTGTACACCAAAGAAGTACAATGTAACCACTTCTCATGTTGGGTTAGGATTCTTGAATGTCTTGTGACTGTGTCTGACCTTTTCACATCTTGAACAATGATAAATTTTCTTATCTTAGAAGACTCTATCCTCCTTATTCATGGCCTCCCGGGCGGACGGCTAGTTAAAGGCGATTGCAATAAAAAAGTTTGTGATATATTTTCACCTGAAAGTCCATGTGATTCTAATTTATCATTATGCTAGGCTTAACAAAATATTGAAGTTAGGCAAAAAATGCATAACACAATATTCACTATGCACAACATAAGGTTTATATATTCTCAACTAAAAGTCCATACGATTCTACTTTATCAGTAGGCTAGGTTAACAAAATGCACAAATAGGCAAACAATGCATAACACAATATCCATTATGCACAACATAAGGTTCATATATTCTCAACTAAAAGTCCATATGATTCTACTTTATGAGTAGGCTAGGCTTAACAAAATGCATAAATAGGTAACAAAATATCTACTATGTATAATATAATATTCATTTATTCTCAACTAAAAGTCTATAAGATTTTACTTTATCAGTAGGCTAAGATTGACAAAATACACAAGTAAGCAAACAATGCAGAACATAATATCTACTATGCACAACATAAGGTTCATATATTCTCAACTAAAAGTCCATACGATTCTACTTTATTAGTAGTCTAGGCTTAACAAAATGCACAAATAGACAATCAATGTATAACACAATATCTACTATGTACAATATAAGGTTTATTTATTTTCAATTAAAATTCAATAAGATTCTACTTTATCAGTAGGCTAGTCTTGACAAAATACACAAGTAAGCAAATAATGCAGAACACAATATCTACTATGCACAATATAAGGTTCGTTTATTTTTAACTAAAAGTCCATAAGATTCTACTTTATCAGTAGGCTATGCTTGACAAAATACACAAGTAAGCAAACAATACATAACACAATATCCACTATACACAACATAAGGTTCATATATTCTCAACTAAAAGTCCATACGATTTTATTTTATCAGTATGCTAGGCTTAACAAAATGCACAAATAGAAAAATAATGCATAACACAATATCTACTATGCATAATATAAGGTTCATTTATTCTCAACAAAAAGTCTATAAGATTTTACTTGATCAGTAGGTTAGGTTTGATAAAATGCACAAGTAAGCAAACAATGCGTAACATAATATCCACTATGCACAACATAAGATTTATATATTCTCAACTAAAAGTCCGTACGATTCTACTTTATCATTAGGCTAGGCTTAACAAAATGTACAAATAGGCAAACAATGCATGGCACAATATCTACTATGCACAATATAAGGTTCATTTATTCTCAACTAGAAATCTATAAAATTTTACTTTATCAGTAAGCTAGGTTTGATAAAATGTATAAGTAAGCAAACAATGCACAACTTAATGTTTATACATTCTCAACTAAAAATACATACGATTCTACTTTATCAGTATGTTAGGCTTAACAAAATGCACAAATAGAAAAATAATGCATAACACAATATCTACTATGTATAATATAAGGTTCATTTATTCTCAACTAAAAGTCCATAAAATTCTACTTTATCAGTAGGCTAGGCTTGATAAAATGCGCAAATAAGCAAATAATGCACAACACAATATCCACTATGCACAACACAATCTTCATATATTCTAAACTAAAAGTCCATGTGTGTCCAATTTATCAGTTGGCTAGGCTTAACAAAAAGTTTCTCAAGTTTATGAACAATAAAAAGTTTATATATAACATGACAAGATCCATTTATTAACAATACAATATTCATCTATTTCGCATGATTTGTGTGATTAAACTGAACATTTGAAAAAGTTTCTCAAGTTAATGAAGAACAAAATGTCCGTATATAATATAAAAGTATCCATTTGCTGACAACACAATATCTATATATTTACAATACAAGGTTTGTTGATATGATACACATAAATATTCACACAAGTTAATTGCAAAGTTTGCACAACATAAACTCCATAAATAACAACATAAATTTCATAAACAACATCTACACTAGAACATTTATATCAGTTGCAAAAAAATATGTATCACAAACAACAAAGAGTTCATAAATAATAATTTGTTTTCATTAAATGAACGTGAACATGTACATTATGATTAGATAAAACTGATATGGCTCAAACTCTCTTTATATCCTTTTTTTGACAAAATAAAACTGATAATGGCAGATGTAGCACTTGATCCATTCTTTTTACACTATGGCGAATTGTTTCAAAAGGCTAGTTGGCGTGAGAGAAATGTAATCAAACGAACGCCTGATCGTCTTCTCCGTACCCATTTAGATAAAAGTGAATCGCCCTCTCATACCTGTTGAACGAAAAAAACTTCAAATGAGAGAAAGAAAGAAGGAGGAGGAAGAAGAAGAGAGGGAATGAAGAAGCATCATGGGAGGAAAATGAATTTGATTATTGTATTAGTGTTGAAAGAGGAAGAGAGAGAGAAGGATGAGGAGGAAAGACAGAGAAGAAGAAGAAGAAGTAATTTTCATTTAACAGCTGGTGATGAGAGGGACAAATTAGTCATTTCACCAAAAAAATATAATTGCAAATGAGGCCTTTAGGCTTTCAGAATAATTTCAGAATCTATTAGGCCTTATCTGTAAAATTCTTACTTTTTAGGGCCCTTAATGCCATTCTCCCTATAAACATTGGTAAAAAAACAATTCATCTTTTATAAATACAAAAACATAATAATTATAGAAAATAAAAATATCATAAAATATTTTACATTGATATTTATTAAATTATGTTAAATCAATTTTATATTAAAGTAAGAAAATAAAGAAATTAAATTTAAAAATAAAAATAAAAAAATGAGATATCAATTTTTATAAATTTAAAAGATTACTTTTTACACATTAAGAATACTACTTGTAACATTTTTTAATATATATATATATATATATAATACATAAATAATAAAATTAAATTTTAATCTTTATTTAAACTTCACCTTCATTTTAATATAATGGGGGATGGCTCGTATTATTAATTTAATATTTTGAACGTGTCATTAATTGTATCTGATATGCATGCTGCTTGTGCCTCCAGTAATGTCAATATATAACTAGCCTCCCTGTCAGAGCCTGGGAGGATCCCTTCGTTTGAAGTACAATATTATCAATAGCACATGGCTGCCAACATGGTGGCCACCGTCCACTGTATGGTGGCCACCGTCCACTGTAAAAAAAAAAAAAAATCAATAAAGGTTTACATTTCCAGGGGGCAAGGCGAGTAACAAGTTGCGACTTCCGGTGGAAGTTGAAAACTGAGAATTGGTCCAACTAGTAACTCCGTTTTTGTTTTTTGCGGGTCAAGGTAACCTTTTTTACTTTTTTTGAAAAATTGAAAGTCATATATATATATATATATATATTTTGGCCAGTCAAGGTATGGTAATTAAAAGTTAGCAAATGAATGTGGCAAAGATGAGAGCGGTCTGAATCTCTCAAGCATCATTCCAAGATTCAATTTCTGGAAATGTT